GGCGAACAAAATTTGTCACGACACATGCCGCACATATTTTGTGAGTTATTTGGCTTTGTTTTTTCTCATTTTGTTTGTTGTTGTATTTCTGTGTTCTGGTGGCTCCCCAGTGGTGAGGGCCAAGAGCGCGGCCCAAGTCCAAGTAGCCAGCGTGATGACCGGTGACAGACAGGCGGGCGGGCGGGCGTGCGGTCGGTCGGTCGGTCGGTCGGTCTCGCTGTCCGCCGTTCGCTGTGCGCTGTTCGCTGTCTGGACTGGGCGCTTGATCTTATCTCAAATTCCTGGTGGTCACTTTTCTATCCAAAATATCATTTCGTTTAAATAGTCCGACCTTTTTCTCATTTTGTAGGTCTCGTTTGTTGTTTCTTTCACATTTTTATGTGTGTGTGTGTTTTGYTTTGAAATGCAAGTAATTAATTCATTTCGCTGCTGCGTCGCCCTCGCGTGTTGGTGTCAAGAAATATCAAAACATCACATCAAATAAATGTTGAATACGCCACAGCGAGCTGCAAGGGCCGTGCCACTCCTCCAATCGACCCCTCCACTGCTGCTGCTGCTGCCCCGGCTAACACCTCTCTGAACTTTGGCCCAAAGCCGTTTTTTGTGCATACCCCGCAATCCCTGAACATGCGACTAGAGGGTATCTCTGCTTCCTAAAATGCTTGTAGCCATCAGAAGACTTTGACGATTCCGTAAATTGAAGTCACTGTGGGCGTTTGGGTAGGTCGGAATTTCGATCAGTCTATAAGTGATGGGTTTACTTATTCGATTTAGTTTATATTGTCTTCTAAGGTATACAGGGTATCTGCTAGGCCGCTACTACCAGCAGTAATATTCAATTTCGTTTTCCTTTTTTTAGCTAACTAGTCGCAGCGACAGTTATGTTAATTTTCGTGTTAGGTTTCTTTTTCGTTCAGTTTGGCCAGCTCCTATTCATATTTCATATGTTTTCCATATTTTCACGTTTTCACATTTCAGCTTGCGTGTTAGGCCACTGCCCCGCCCCCTCAGAGCCCGAGGGGGGAAATGCCGCGACAAAGTGGTGGATCGTTTAAAAAACAATAAAACACGAGGCACTCACAACTCTTTAGCTGCGAACAGTAATTAAATTGTTATGCCACAAGACGTTGCCCATTCAGCTCCCAATTATGTGCGGCCATAAAAAGCGCAATAAACGGTAACAAATACACGCATTGCATTCAGCTCGAGTTTTAGATAACTGCACTCGACTAATTGGCTGGGAAAATGCCCAAGCCCCAGGCCAAAGATGTGTTTCAAAATATCTTGTGATATATCTGTATAAATATCTTGGATATATCTGTAAAAATATCTTTTAAGACACCAAATTGGACCCCAATCAGGTGTTGGACAGTGTCTTGTCAATCTGATGTAATCAATCAACAATATAGCTTTCGACTTGATGCTAATAGGAATACTTTGTATATAGGAGCACAATTAGTCTTATGTGGCAGCTAACTGAGGTATCTGTAGCGAATCAATGGTATTTTCGATATGGGATTGTGTATACATACTCGAAATACGTATATTAACATACACTCTATAAGGTAGGGCTAGCAGACCGTTTTCTTTCTGAGTCGGAATCTACTCTGATAGATGCTATTAAAACTCTCTGACTCCGATTTATGAATTCAAATGTGCTACTGCACTCAATGCGCTACTTTTTACTGCTATTACCCATCCAGCTACGATTCGTATCTTTAATTTGAGCCCTCTGTCGAGTGACATGCTCCTGGCCAAGTCGTCAATGGCGAATCCGGTGTAAGTATTGTAATTAATCCTTGGCTAGCTAACTGGCAGTTCGTCGCATAGTCACATACTCGCATAGTTGCATAGGTTAGCCTTTCTGTTTCTCCTCTCTCCTCCCTCCACACCCCATTTCCCCTCTCACGCCTTACCTTTTCAGTGTTTGTGATATGGTCTGGTTATTGAAAAATGCTGATTAACACATTAGAGCTCATTGAATTGAATGCAATGGATGTGAATACGAATGCGAGTGTGAGTGCGAGTATGAGTGTGAGTGTGAGTGTGAGTGTGAGTGTGAGTGTAGGTAATTTTGATACACGTTTTACTGGCAAGCTTCTGCTGTGCGTGAATGCCAATATGTCGAATGCTACCATTTATAACCATGATCGCTGATTATGCTGTTCTCTGACTGAAAATGGATAACATGACAGATGGACTGAAGCAGGCATGTGCGCGCACAGCCAGAGATCGCGGTAGAGGCAGAGACAGAGGCAGAGGTAGAGGCCGAGAATAAGACTGAGACTGCGACTGCAGTTGAGAGACCTGCTCCCCAGCTTCAGCTTTTGCAGTTGGGACTCAGCGACAGTTCGGTTGCAGCGGGGCTCAAATGAACGAACTCTTTATTTAAATAATCATTTTTTCTGACAGCCAACTTGACTTCCAGATCGGCATCCAGCACCAGCTCTACTCTCGGGCCACAGCGACAACTGCCAGCCGAGCCGCCGAACCGCCGAGCCATCGAGCTTCTTTCTTGATCTTCATTCGGTGCTGCATTTCTTATATTTCATTATGATTTTTCATTTTCTTTTCGCTTTATTTTCTTTGCACGCTTTAATTGTTTGTTTGACTCGGCGTTTAAGCGCCCCGTATGGATTTACAGTCAGACCTATGTCGTTCACATCTCTCTGTCTCGCTCTCTTTCTCTCTCTCTCTCATGTCATTGTCAGCCGGGCTTTTGGGTGCGGCGCGTGGGGATCTCTGGCGTCGTTTAATTGAAAACGATGCATGTAAATGACACTTTTCAGCATTAATAAGCAAATATTTGTATGATTATTGGTGTAGCAGGAGGATTACGCTTCAGKCGTAGGTAGGTAGAAACTCACTAGCTCTGATATCTGATTGAAGTCGTTCTGTTGTCGCAACAGGTAAAGTGCTTAACTAGTTTCGAAGTCTGGAAGTCAAATGTGTCTGTCACATCAATTTGGCCAACAGGTTCAACGAAGCTCGAGAGCATGAATTCAATTTAGCTGTGAAGCACTTTCAGAATGGCTTCTTCATAGAATAGCGCACTCTCTTATACGATATATGTACGTAGCTAACAATGATTATGTCAATGTTGGAACAGATGCAAAATTGGAAATATACAGTAAATAGTCTTATTTTCCCTTTAAATCAAGAACGTAACTTTACAAAATATTACATTACACAAAGTAACAGAAATACGTGCCGAATCAATATAAAAAAAATATATATTTTGAAAAGATGTTCTCCAAGTAATTTTAAATATTATTATTGGTAGTGTCCATTCACAAATACTTAGATCTGCATAACTCAGAAAGGTAATCCCATCAGTAAGAAAACATAGATGAATTATTAACTAATATGGAATTTCGAAAAATGTATTTACAATAAATCAATAATTGTCGTAAGTATATTTGAGCCAAACACGTAATCGTGCATTTGAGTTAATAATCTTTGAGTATTTCTCTTAGGCTGGCTAATTCCGAGATAAACTTCTCGACGCAGTGACAAGTGACAACCTGACTGACTGCACAGCATTGACAAAAATTATCTGAAATATGCAAGAAATATGCCAAAGGCTAGTGGCAAGGATGTTGGAGAGGGGGGAGATGGCAGACAGAGAGAGAGAGAGAGAGAGCGAGGGGCTCCAAAGCAGGCAGAAATCATTGTGAGAGACCGTCAAGCGAAATCTTTGGCATTTGAAGAGACATTCTTATTTTTAGGTGACATGCCCTCGGTGGGACGTCTGACGCACTTGGCTCTTGCGCGTATATATCTCGACTGTCAATCAGTTTTGAAAGTCATCGTATTTTTTTCCTTTTTTTTTATTTTACTTTTTATTATTTTGTTTTTGTTTCATTTTGCTTTTTTGACCCTTTCTCTCAGTTTTATTTATTTTTTGTTATATTTTTTTGGATATGTCATACGCCGCAGCTACTTAGGAATACCCGTACAACAGGTTTAAAACATGATCTATTGATGTCCGCGCTTAAGTTGACTTCTGTTACAAGTCCTCTAACAACGATGGAATGGATATTCGACATTCGCATAAGCTAAATGATGTTGTATATATTCAATTATACATTGTAGACATTTTTATAAGTTAAAGGGAATTTTATGAGGGAGCGCTAATCTATCTAATAATAATTCACTAAACATACAAGTTTTTCTTTATACATTTACAATTATTCATATTAAAAGCTCAAGTTAAACGTTTTAATAACATTTTACAAAATGTATACGTTTACTTATGTTATTAGAAATATAATCGCTTAATGGAATTATAACAGAGGGGCTCACATTTTTAAAATCAATCTCTGCATATGCATAAATTGAGATCTTCAATTAAATTATGTGAGGGAACGAACGTTAACATTTTTAATAACATTTCACATAAACACAAGTCATTTTATGTTATTAGAATTCATAGCGCTCGCCCATGCAATTCCCTTTAATATCTATAAATGTATATGAACATCTCACACCATATATGAGTTTATACATTCATATTTGAATTTTATAAGTAAGCTTTAACATTCCGAATAACATTTGATCATATATATGAGTCTCCACGGAGACTATTAAATAAAAGATTTTAAGCTACTACTATACCAGATTAAGGGTTACGTATATTCGATTATTGATTTTCGGTCTTTTGAAGTCTGGTTAACCTTCTGGCTTTTCGATAGTGGCTTCAGCTCGTTTGCCTGTGGGCGAATTGTTAATTGGAATCAGCACTTGAACCACACTTCAGCTTCATCCCCAAAAATTTTCTAAACTTTGCATCAAGGATCGGTGTATACATTTAATATTTCATGATAAGAATAACTTTATGCGTAATTTCATTAGCTCTTATTTATGCGCCTAATCTATTTTTAAGACTTTAGGTAAAGCCCATTCCTTATTGCATGCGAGTGCTGGATTCTACTCTGATATATACTCATGTAATACGCTAACTTGACCAAGACAATACATAGATATGTAATTGCACTTACCTTGGGGCTTGGGAACATTCCGCTTGAGCTGCATCCATTTGTATGTTGGAATGCTGGTCGCGTGATTTGGGGATTTGGATTGGGAGTTCGCTTGGTGCGTGGAGTTCGCAGCGGACACAGATGCTGTGGATGATGAGGTGGAGCTGCCAGGTGACGTGACGCCGCCGCCACGTTGATTTCTTGCCATGGACAGGCAATTGCTGGCGCCGTTGGGCGATATCGAATGCTGCGGCACCGCCTGAGCAGGTGCACTACCGGCCGCATGTTGCTGAAGTTGTTGTTGTTGCTGCTGTTGTTGCTGTTGCTGTTGCTGCTGCTGCTGCTGCTGTGCGCTGCTAGTCAAGCTGGCTAAGTGTCCGTGACTGAGACCGTGATGCAGATGCGCGTGCGGATAGTCCATGGCAATGCCTGTATCCAAGGCGTAGCCGCCTCCCATGTGCTGATGATGGTGCCACATTTGAGGCGGCGACTGCTGCTGTCCGGCAGCCAGCTGCAACATGGCGTCTGACGGATCCTCCAGCAGCATGCTAGGCGCTGCAGCCGCATAGCCCGCATGCAGCACTGCAGCATACTTCTCCTCCATTTGGCCGGCGTAGACATGTGGCTGCGCCTGCGCTACACTTGGCGAGTAGAGGCAATCCAGGTTAGTGTACATCATGCCGTTCTCCGAGCTAATAATGGGTGCATGCGCATCCAGAGCCTGCTGCTGCTGTTGCTGTTGTTGCTGCTGCTGCTGCGTCGCATTGGCCGCTGTCACAGGCGAATTGTTGGCAGGAGGCGGCACGGTAGCTACAGCGGCTGTGGCGTAATACGGGTTCACCGAATCGCTGTCGTAGTAAGAGTCGGCGGGCGAGTGGCTAGTGGGATGTAATGGAGTGCTGCCGGAGGTGGCCACAGCCGCCGTGGTTGTGATGCCGTACTCTGCTGCGCTGGGACTAAACAGGTGCGAATGCGGGTAAAGTTGATGCTGTTGCTGCTGCTGTTGCTGTTGTTGCTGAGCGAGAGGATGTTGCAGCTGGTGTTGGGTTGGCGGCGGCGTTAGCTGCTGCTGATAGTAATTGGGCGAGTTGCTGTCATAGCCATTGTAGGCCAGTTGCTGCTGCTGCTGCAGTTGCTGTTGCTGCTGTTGGTGTTGTTGGTGTTGTTGTTGTTGCTGTTGCTGCTGTTGCTGCTGCTGTTGAATATGGTGGGTCGGGGAGGGAAAGTAGTTGCTGCCGTAGCCATCGTAGGCCGTGGCAGTAGCATGTGGATGATGATGTGGATGGTTGCCGTACATGCTGCTAACGTCCATCATATTGTAGCCAAGACTGCACTCAACAATTTTGATTGCCTAGAAGAGGGGCGAGACGGGGAATGTTGCCTGAATTCGTGTCTAGTGCAAAGCTAGGGCCCTTAAGGTAATGCCTAAAGCTTAATGAATATTCATACAATTAGTTCGGATGAATGTTGCATATACATATATAAATATGTATATTCAATTTCCTATATTTCCAATCTCCAATTCAAAATATTACAATTTAATTACAGCCTACTTTACTAACATATACAAAAAGTTCTTCTGTAATGAATTCTTTAAAGTAAAAGTGAGGATATTAGAGACTTGCTTTAACGGCGAGTCGAAATGTAGACGGGTATGTCTTAAATAAAGAATTAGGCACTACATCTAAGGTCCCTAAAATTGCTTGCTTTCCACTGTCGTAGAGATTCAAGTGTTTGTTTTTCTTTTTTCAACATAAACTAACTTTTTTTTCAAAAAATAACTTTGCTTGCTGAAACAGAGGCGCGTTTGCGTTTAGTATGTGTTTGATTTGAAACTCGCGCCTCTCGTTTGCTTTGCGATACACTTTGGTATATTGACATTAACAGTTACAAGAAACACGACATAACTGTTTGCAGTTACAGTTCCGACGGTTTCTCCCTCTGACTTTGTTTTACGCGACGGTTCTCGAGCTTCGTGCTGCAAGCGCGCTAACCCAGTGGCGACTGATTGCTGGCCGCGCAGCCAACAGACACAGCCAAACAAACGCACACGGCGACGAGTGGCGTGCGAGCAGGCCACGCCCAGCGAGTGAGCACAGCTGTTGTCTCGCTCGCGCACACACGGCTGGCCGCTAGCTCGCCCTGCTCGCCTTGCCTGCATAGTGCCAGCTCGCTCTCGCTCTCGCTGAGCTGCTGAGCTCTTATCAGAGGACTGTCGGCAAGCTGTGGATATTACCGGTTTTGGCAGTCGATTTTTTTTGCTGTTGTTATTTTTCTTTTTTTGCCGGTTATAGCCCCGGCCCTGGTCCCTGTCCCGGTCCCTTGGCAAATGCTGATATTAGAGTTACGCCCATGTTTCATGTCTTATTTAACTGGAAGTGACACACTCACACACACGCACATGTATATAGTATATATATTTAATTTTTTGATACTTTTGGCACGTTTTGTTAGTTTTCGGTTTTCGCACCTACACACGGCTAGAAACTCCCAAATGAATTGACACTGCAGGTAGTGGCCAAAAATTGGTCAACGAAGCTTCAATGGGATGTGCCAGCTGTGCAGCTGTCAATCGTCATCATCATATCCACATATGACAGACCCATCTATGGCTGCTGTGGAATTTTAATGCGCCTCGTCCCCTTGCCATCTCTCTCTTTCTCTCTCCCTCTCTCTCTCTCTCTCTCTCTCTCTCAGACTCTGTCTCTGAATCTGACTCTGTCTCGGAGTCTGACTCAGTGGGATGCAATTCGTAGGCGCCCCCTACGAGTCTGTCACACTGCCCAGATAGAGATACCAACATTCAAATGTCTTCATGTTCCGTACTCCGGCATTGCACCTTTCACGCACAATGCATCATTTTTGGCTGCCTGTCTGTTCGTGCTGTCTGGAAAACTTTTGTGTGTTTGTTGCTGTTGGGTTTCTCCTTTATGTGCGAGTTGATTGACATTTTCACAAGTTTTTGTCGTGTACTCATAGTTGTTTGGTTTAGCTAACCGTGCCCGATTCCAATCCCAGTCCCAATGCCAATCCCAGCCCGTAGCGCACACTGAATCCACTTTCCAATCCCCTTTGCAGCACAACTTACTTTGCTCTGTTGGACAGTATCTCGTCCTTTCGGGCCTCTGCCAAGCACTCCAAGGTGATTTGTTATATTTTCGGACAGCAGCAATTAATAGTAACAGGATGTGTGTGTTTTTATTTTCAGCATCGGCTTCAGCATCAGCTTCAGTTTCCAATCCCAACTCCACGCTCACATCCACATCCACTGTCCCACCTCATGGCAAGTGGCTCTATCTTCCCTGAGGCTCACGCACATGGCTGAACTCATGTTGAGTTCAGCAACAACCAGGAAACTGCGTCTTATTTGGAAATATCTAGGTGAAAGATAATAAAGTCCATACAGCCATACAGCCATACAGATTGATGCTCATTGGCTGTTGACGCATTCACGCTGCAGCACAAAGAGTGTTTCAGCCGAATTGCATACCTATCTATAGAGATGAAATTTCTTTTGCGTGCAAAAATAATCAATTAAAGTATAGTAGAGTACCTCGATAAGTAGGAACTAATCGAAAGCTAATGTAATCTGTATATGTTCTATTTGGGATATGTGTATCTATAAATATAACGATTTACTTGAACTGAGTAATAGTAGCATTGCAGAATTCTAATGTTAATTAAATGATTGTTTTAAGTACGATAGTAAATCACATTACGCAGCGTTCAAATTAATAGTGGTAGATTTTTTCTTATCTCTTAATAGACCATTTGAATAAATTACACATATTGCTGTTGTTTTTGGCAATAGAGCAAAACTTTCATCTTTTCAAACTGCATCGTTAAGGGCATAAAATTCTCTTTAAGACAAAAAAAATTGGTATGAGTTATCTCTAGTAGTATTGACAATATACAAACAAGCTGTTCGAATTATTCATGGTTGAGCTCGTAGCTATCACTTAAACGGCTTACATACATATATACTCATTTATAGAATTCTAAACAGACTTCACTTATTTGAATGCAGAGAGAAAGTACTCAGTATTGGCTCCAGATAGCAAGTGATTTTGCTTATATCTTTTATCTTTTCTGTAATAGCTGAGAATTACAAATAATTTTAGCCTAAATAAATCCAAAAATAAATATATAACTTTTAATATTGTCAATATTTGTAGCTGTATTTAAATTTAGTTCATTTTACGAAGTTAGTTAAATCTAAAATATACTTATTTTATATACATACAAATTTAAATATTAAGTTAATGTTTGCCCAATTCCCAAACGTAAGAGCCAAATATAAATTAAGTACAGTGAGGAAGCGGAGAAAATATGCTTACTATACATAGATGGGCTTGGTGCGCTTGACTCAGGTCGTCAACCTTGAATCTGAATCTTTGCCAGTAAGCTTTGATTATTGAGAACTGCATGTTTCTTACTTAATAACTAATACACATCTTTATTATGTAGAAAGATAGTAGTATGTCTCTATGACAAATGTAATATTGTATTTTGTATATTATGTACGTGAAGATTGTCAAATGGACTCGGTTTTTCATATCGATTAAAATAATCGATCGTATAGAACTTTAAATCAGTATTACTAAACGGGATTTAACTGAATCCTGAATATTTAACAGCTACTATGTTTATTATATTATACAACTATTTTATTGTTTATAAGAAATAGAAACATGGAATGAAATTAAGAACAAAGAACAACGTTTCTGTATGATTCTGGCCTTTGGTAACAATGGTGCCATGTAAGCTTATCCTCCCTCGAAACCAACGAAAAACAAATAGGTGACCTACATATGTATGCTAAAAAAACCTATATCAATTTCTATTAACTTGGTCGACATTTCCCACTTTCCTCCGGACGCTTATATATGTATATCCACAATATCTTTTTGATTTTGAGTTGTCACTCCGAGTATATGTATGTATATACGTCATTTTATCCATCTTATTTAATCTGATCCGATATTTTAGACATTTCGTAGACCTACATAGGATTTTTATTATCATTTCACTGAGTATATTGGTTTTGTGTAATATACGTCTGTCCGCATGAACGTAGTTTTTTTCGGTGCTATAGAAGCTATAGACTAGAAATCTGGAACACATACTCGTGTATATCTCCGATTTATAAAAAGTTAAAATTGTTCTGATCCGCCCACTAGAGACGTGGTAACTCGGAGAATGCATTTTCCGATATGCCAGAAATCAGCTGAAATTTGGAACGTCAACCACTCAAGATTAAAAGCTATGGTGGATATATCTGCGCTCATTGGGGACGTGGCAAGGTTATATCTAACCTATAAGAGCTAGAAGCTTCAAATTTGGATAGTTAAGTTATTAGCAACCTCCTCTATCGATAACCCAAATATAACTGTTACGTCTCTTTAGGGGCGTGGCATATCGAAAAATACCTTGTAGTTTTCACATTTTTGGAGCGTAAGTATCCCAATTTTGCAGTTAGGTTACCGTTAGTTCGTTCTAAGGACTGAGGTGTCTACGCCCAGTAAGGCAAATTGGGAAAAACTGTATTTTGTACAGTATTAGATCAAATCTTAGCTACTAAATTGTGGATGGGATGTGAAAGAGTATTCTGCAGTTGGTATCGCCCGACTGCAAAGTTCTAACTTTTTTTTAAAATGTAATAAGACGTTTTATTTATTATTTCTTTTTGTCATTATAAAATAATAGGAAATATCAAATTACAACATTAAAAATTTCCATTTTCAAAGCAAATATATATTCTGAAATGTATTGCTACAGACTGTTGTGACTTTTGCTTTCTAGCCTTCGTACCTTAAGTCTTTAAGCATATCTTTCAGGCTCAGCTTGTGCTACATGGTAATTAACTTATCATAATGGGGATGGGGACACACCGGTCACATGGGAGCCGCCCCATCAAACTACCTGAGCGCTATTGACGCCGTCGGAAGTATTGTGTGATATACAGATACGATAGGCGTCAATATGGTTGGTCGGCCGACAAGCGAATGATCGTCTTAGCTCATTGCAAAGAAACAAGTATAAGAGTGTTAGAGGAGCCAGACTGCGATATACCCTGTGCGGAGGGGCTCTGTCAATCTCGCTACCTATAAGTGAGAGAATACACAAAACTTTTATTTGTAATAGTATTAATCATTATGTAAGTCCAATTACCAAGTTCGGTGTCTTTTCAATTATTGCTTCTCAACGGATGTTGCGATATATAGTATGGCCTATCGATATTGATCGAAGTTATATATTGATATTATTATACCGAATTTACTACAGGCTTGGGACATAGAGCTCCGTCATGCGGGGGGTCGGGCGAGCATCCTTCTGGTTGTTCGACACATGTGGCGCACTTGGTTAAGAACGGCAATCCCGTTCAGCCGCTCTCAATGGGCCTAGGGTATAGAAAGAAGTGACCAAAACTCTGACGCCAGCGCTTGAGAGGGGGAGGGGATGCGTCGTTACAAAGCGACTTTGAATGTTGTTGTCACTTGCAGTGGCAGCTGCCCCTGGCCATAGCCACGAGAGAGGAATGGGAGGGAGAGAGAGGGCGACGTGACGAGTAACGGTAACAGTAACAGTCGTAATTGGCGCTGCACAAATTGATGGATTGCCCGTCGCGACTGTCCAAGCTCCTCGTCTGTCCCATTGGCGGCCTTTTGTAGTTTTTCCTTTACATATATATATATATATTCTTTTTGTATACACACACATACATATATGCATACACATATAAATGTTTATTTATTTCGGGTAAATCGATATTTGTGCCATTTTTTGTGCAGCTTTTGACTTTTGTATTTGTGTAATGATTAATTAATTGTACGCACTTATCGGGCTTCTCTGTTGTCTGTAGCCTGTTGCCTCTTACCCGATGTCTGTCGCCTGTTGCACTGACGACGGCTGTCGCCAAATTGGTAACAGCGGCTCCAGTGCTCCAGTGCTCCATTGCTCCAGTGCTCCCAGAGCCTCTTCTACAATAATTGAATACGTAATTACGAGTCTTGCAGACGTCCTCATTGTTTTAATTAATACGATTTTAAGCTGATTATTGGTCGAAACCCTAATTGGGGCATAAATTCATCACGGCTAAATCGCTTCAAAATGCACCAATAGGTAGGTGCGCAAGCGACACCGTCTCTTCTCAGTGATTGATATATGTAAGTTCATATCAAGGCATTATAAACTAATTGGGTGCATTCTCAAACCATCAGATATAGCCTCAATAACAACTTCTCTTTTCAGATCTAATACCCAAAGAGTTTTTTGTTGCGGCTCAGGAAAAATTCTGGAACTGTCATACATTGCGCTATAGTACTTTTCCAAATGTATTTATTTATAGTAGCTTTTTAATTAACAGATAATTAAATAGAGTTTTAAATTTACAAATAATAAATCTTATTTTCCTCTGAGTGACAACTAACTAACTAGGTTTTCATTTTGCGAAGAGCTAACAACCCACTTAAATGACATTCATATGATACTCAGATGTATGTGAAACATTTTATTTAAAATTTTTATATGAATGGGGCACTTTATTTTTAATAAAGCTTGTTGAGTTTTACATTTGATATTTAAGAGTACAGGACACTTCTTTTCTGCTTAAACATAATCCTATGTACACTGAAAATTAACCTAACAGTGACATAACAGTATATATGAAATGTTGATGGGAAATTATTAGCTAGGAATTGAATTTGTCGTAATGGGAGGAATCAGTTGGAGATAGCATAATTTAAGAGAATTTGTAATATTAGATGGGATATTTAAAATTCGACTTTTTTACAATACAATATTAGGCAAGTCAGTGAACAGGTAAGAGCGTTGCATTCAGCTGCTGCAGTCTCTAAGACTATATTCGGGCCTTAGTAACATATTAAATAATGGAACATAATAACATCGTAATAAATGTCAAAGTTTATCGATTTTCAATTACCAACAATACGCGTGATGTATGACTTTGCCAGGTAATAGCGTCTATGTTGAAGTAGTAGGTGTACCCACAAAGCTTATACAATCTGTAAACTAAGGTATAATTCATGTGTGTGAAATGGAAAAAATGATTAACTAAATCCGATATACTCTTTTCTCTTCCTAATAATAATTAATAATTCTCTTACTAATAACTAATATCAAGTAAAGACGTTATAAACAATCTCTACGTTAGTGTTGCGTTGTGCGGATGGTTTACCATGATGTTTTCTTCTAAAAAATGCATAGCTCCAAAATGCTTATGTATGGGAAGCATTTGTATTGAATTAAGTTATCGGTTGTTGGGCTGATGTTTGGGAAATAAGTATAAATAAATTGCGCTATCTTATCGCAAATTGCAAATGGAAATTGCAATTGAAATATCATATATACATAAATATATATGTGTTAATATATGTGCATACATAGAACTAGATAAATATGCAGCTGACTTTAATATCTGATGACACAAATCCACCTTATTCTTTTAAGTGTTTACATTGTGTATGAATTTAAAATTGACCTTGGCTTAATGTGATGCAAATTCATGCAAAGCTTCCATGTTTTAAATGCTCGGAACGCCGCGACTTCAGCCTGAGAACCGACCTCTCGCGTGTCTTTCATTTTCAATTTGTGCGCGGATAAAGTTTGAGCGAGACAACTAGTGTCGCAGCGCTTATCCGAGTGTGTGTCGCAGCCAATGGGAACGAAGACGACTTTGTATCGACCCCGATTGGACTGCAGCCTAACCTGCAACCCCTGTTCCTGCTGCTTCGCCCATCTTCGGGCAGCTGCGCGATGACATTCCATTGAGATCTTGCACATGTGTATGTATGTGACTGAGCTCTGACTGCAGCGACTAATCGGTTGCAAAATTTTTACAGATGCTAACCGAGGACAAAAGAAGCGGGTTGTTGTTCGAATTGAATGGCCGGATAACAAATTTGTGTAAATTTGGTGGTGAGCATTTACATTCAACACCTATAAGTTTATGGATGCTGACATTCCTCCATGAAACTTCAATATATCTACATACATATATATTTTCAAATGAATTTGGAATATTTATGGATATTAGGTATTAGATTTTAAATATGTGTGTGTGTGTGTGTGTGTGTGTGTGTGTTTTGTTTAAGGATAAGTGCATATATGTGCATTTTCACGTATTTGCAGACGCACATAGGAGAGCGTTCAATATAAAACAGATGTCTATAAACATTTAGAGCCAAACACTAAATTAATTCGTAGAAAATCAGAAACAAAAATTAGATTTGTTAATCAAAGCGTCTTCGCAATATTCAATATCCGTTTTTGCTGTGTAGCATTTAGTTTTACGGCGTATATTCAGTTTGTTTGTATATGTAAATGTGTGTCTACACAGTCAGCTCACAAAGGGGTTACTGAAGTACCTCGTATGGCTCAATAAACATTATAACATTTTATTATTACTTATGTCTACAGAAATGTGTTCTGCCTTACTAATATAAATGATAGTAGTGGTACATAGTTAAAGAACATTTCTATTTTGACCAATCGGTATTGGTTCTGTTAAATTTCTTATTTACATTGCATTGCTGTTGCGCTATGATATTAGCGCCATCTCTTGGAAAACATTAAACAAATTGTGTAGCATACTTTTAGGCGACCAAGTTATTGTTTGAATTTATTAGCTGTAGCTAAGTGACTAAGGCAAACAATTTAAATTAGTTAAATTAAAATGGAAGGCTATTGGAGAATGCTTCAAATTAATTCCTTAAATTATAAGTTACTAATACAAAGTTAGCGAATAAATGACATTAACATTAACAAAAAGATTGCTGAGTTTACTCAACAACTTCTTTTAACTTTTAGATAAAGGGTTTGTCAAAGCTTTGAATTGTTTCAATTTTTCAATAATCTTCATAATCATTATAATCATGAATGAATCATTAAATGGTACTCGGCATTGGAGTATAGTGCGATTAATCCGTAGTTCATCAGAAATATATACAAAAATACAAAAAGCTTTAAATAGTTCTCCCATAGGGCCTATTAAGAACTGCCTTGGAGACCATCCAACAGGAAAGGCATCCTCACACTCTTTTGGATGCAATACTCAAGGTTTTTTGATTAGCACTCTTTGAAAACTGCTCGAGTGAAGCACAAACTCCAGCTCACCCACCTTGGTACATAACGCACCAATGGCACAGGTTACTCACCACCCCACCATTCCTCTTCCTCCTTCACCCAAAAAACGGCCGAAATGAAACAGATAATGGTAAAGACCCAGAACTTGAAACAGAGAGAGATATAGTTATATATAGAGAGAGTGAGAGAGAGGGAGAGAGAGAGTAGGTGCGACAGAATTTTAGAGAAACAGAAACTCAGTCGAAATCCATTGAGAAATGGAATTTCAACGCATACTCTAAATATAATTGAAATCGATTAAGCAACAGTTATTAGTCATTTTCTCCACTTTTTAGTCATTTTCTTTTCTTTGAAAGAGCGAATATCATTTGAGAGTCAAGGTATATCACCACATATATCATCCTCCCCCGCAGAGGGCCTTTGCTTATATACTTTACATGTACTCTGGCAATTACATTGTAATATTTATTTAGCATTTATGTTCTGCAATACTTCCTATCACATTGAACAAAACTGTAAACAAAATAAGAACTCTAATGAGCGTTAAGTAAATAAATACAACGAACATACTTTTGTACTTCGTATAGGAAGTTTGGATGGCGACAAAAAAAGGAGAAATAAACGCGAGCATGCGAAATCCAATTAAAGCTCAAATGAAACGTAACAAATTTTTAAGGTCACGTCTGATCAGGCGCAAGGCAGGGGAGGGGGCGACAACAAAAGGTGCCACATGTGCGTCTGTGTTAGTGTGTGTGTGTGTGTGGACAAGTGCATGGCAGTCAATTTGAAAAACCGTTGTTATGCATTTGCGCATGCGCTGCATACCATATTATTCATAATGGCACTAAGTGAGCTGTGCGCCTGTGTGTGCCTTTCGAAAGCGAAAACAAATGAGCGATCTCATCGATTTAGTGGCTGGTATGCGACTTCTGAGTGTCTGAGACCAATATTAATTCGGCTCGAGTGCGTCCAATTCAATCAAGAAGGCATTATGCCTTTATGGCATGGTTGCTGTTGCTGTTGTTGTTATTGTTGTTGTCGTCATTGCTGCTGTTGTTTTTGTCACTTGTACGCTTAGCCTTGGCTAACATTGTGCTTGGCGGTACGATAGTACGCCCGCTCTCTTCGCCCGTCTATCGTCTGCCGTCGACCGTCGACCGTCGACCGTCGAGCGTCGAGCGTCGAGCGAATGCTCCTCCTCCACCAGTAGCAGCGGCAGCAGCACCTACTTGGCTTCTAGTCTTGCTCGTCGCTGAGCTTTAGTTATGGTCGCTTTGTATTTTGGTATTGTCGCCGGCGTTTTGTGACGCAAGTGCACTCATTTGGTTGCGAATGCGGGCACACCAGGCGGGCCTCGCGGCGCGGTATAAAAACCCCTAGTTGGCCATCGTTCAAATCAGTTCACAGCCAAGTTCGGTATCTAGAGCAGCATTCGTCCAACCAAACCCCAAAACAATGGCATTCAAAGTAAGCCAGCCCAGGATTATGTGAAAAGCTGTGTAACTAAATCGTGTTTGTGTGTATGTGTGTGTGTGCTTCATCTACTTGCAGTTCACCATTCTCTTCGCCGCCTGCATCGCTGTCGCCAGCGCTGGAGTCGTGCCCGTAGCCGCGCCCTTGGCCGCCGTTGCCCAGGTGGAGGAGTACGACCCCCATCCCCAGTACACCTACGGATATGACGTTAAGGATGCGATCTCTGGCGACTCCAAGACCCAGGTGGAGACCCGTGACGGCGACATCGTCCAGGGCCAGTACTCGCTGAATGATGCCGATGGCTACCGTCGCATTGTGGACTACACCGCCGACCCAGTCAACGGCTTCAATGCTGTGGTGCGTCGCGAGCCACTGGTCGCCGCCGCTCCCGTTGTCGCTGCCCCCGCTCCAGTCGTTCGCGCTGCACCCGTTGTAGCCGCTCCCGCTCCAGTCGTTCGCGCTGCTCCCGTTGTGGCTGCCCCGGCTCCCTTGGCCTACGCCGCTGCTCCGGCTCCCATTGTCAAGGCAGCTCCGTTGATCGCCGCTGGCCCAGCTATCGTCAAGACGCAGTACGCTTCGCCTCTTATCTCGTACGCCTATTAGGTCTCCAAATAGGCGCTGTCCGACCTGATAATTGCCGTTAGTTGTTATTGAATAAAGAATGTGATGTCATAGAACCATTTCCTAGTTTCATTTAATAAGTTCATAAGCCGATTTGACTGTTTGCAGGAGCGTCTCTGCTGGAGACTCGAAATGTTTCCAAAATCATTTTAAATAAAATAAAGTAAAATGTGTTCAAAATCATTTTAATAAAATATTCTTTGTCATTCTCATTTAAATTTCTTATTTATTTATTTTTGAGTGCATAAACTTCAAACAAAAAATGTTTGCAAAAGCCAAATTGATAAAGTGAAATAAACTTGTTAGAGCAGATCATATTGTAATGATACAAGAATAATTTGTACTTACTTTTCATTAAAGATAGATTTAATAATGAAATTGTCAACCGATGACTTTGTATATTGTCCATTCGTTCATTAATATTTAAACGTATTTTTTATTTTTTTTATTTTTATTATTATTWTTTTTATAGTACGATTTATATTACGTTTTAGATATTGACGCTTTAAATACATTTTTAAAAATTAGAGCTCATAAACTGAGAAACTATATATTGATTTGTATATACCTATGTACAGTTAGATATTTATAAGGTGCAATTAATCACAATGGATTTAGGTTTGGAAAAATCCCAAAAGAAATTAAAAACTATTACATGTCGAAACTGAGGTTACTTTCCCTCTTCAGTATCAAGGTCGTCCGACACGGAGCCACTTTAAAGAGCCATTAAAAGCAAAGAACCAACGGAAAGCAAGAGCTACAAAATAAAGCCAAAAGCCCGAAAAGAAACACAATATCAAAACAAAGCTGGTTGAGTGTAAAGCTACATACATATAAATGAATCACGGCTACGACTACGTGAGATGGCAAAAAATTCAGTTGAAATAGGCCGAGTATGAGGTAAATCAGTGTTTAGACTTATAAAGTACACCGGAAAGGGGTTTTAACAGTGATATTAATTGATAATGCTTGTAAACTAAACTCAAACAGTTGAATGAAGCTATAAATAAGGGTGAATTGCGTAATGTGAGTTATCCTCTTTGCGATAAAGAATGTTTTGAAATTCTGAATAATCATTAATATTACAGTGTAACAGAATCTCTTTATATGTGCTTACATAGGTTTGCTTACAGAGCTGCGGAGTTGTGGATGTACATGTTATCTAATAATTGATATGTATTCTCTGTAATAAGAATGGAGTGTAAAAGCATTCCAAATGATTCGAGTAGCTCTCCAGGTGGACGTACATTGATTACGTTATGTTGATATATTCACAAGCTGTATTCACCACTGAATAATCCTCAACATACCATAATCTCATTAAAAGTGTAATTCAAGGCAGCTCATCAAGGCAATGACCCCATAAAGTACACACAATTTATACAGATTTCTATATACGTATATATTTTGTTGGGTTCATAAATTTACTCCATATATAGCATCAATGTGTCGCCTAGACTCTCACATTTTTTATCTCTTTCTCTGAAGAGTCCTCTCTGTAACTCTTTTGACTGTATGAACTCTGCAGGGGCAAACAAAATATAGAATATTTAATTCATTTATAAAGATATTGAAATTTTTTCAACATTGTATCTTTCCGTCTAGCTAGAGTGTATTTGGATTTGTTTTGATTTTTAGGCTTGCAGATTAGCAATTGGATTAGTTGGAATTCACATTTTTTGGCAGTACAAACACGCTTTAGGCGCATTTTTATAATCGCCTTGTGGCTTTTTTTGGTGGCCAGTTACACGAAGCCACCTTGCACGACTGTAATTGGAATTGGAATGGAATGGCCTGGTATTCCGTTGTGTTTTTGTGTTTTTGTGTTTTTGTAGCCACTGTTAGGCCATCGGTACAGCTACTGCAGTAGGTACTCGTACGCGTACTTCATGGGAACGGGCGCAAGGCACGAATATGCCATTGGAAGCGGTTGCAAGCGCTGCTCACGAGGTAATTAACCATAAAACCTGACTTTGACCTTAACACTCGATGTCGCTGCTCACCTGTCCCCAGCCGAAGGTGGAAGACAAAGAGCCCCAGCCACGAGCAGACGCCGATTCGCATGCCTTGGCATATTTGGGCGTGTAAGGAACAGATGTTATGGAAAAGCCGAACACTGGCCGTTTATGTAGGCTGACATCCGAACGATAAGACAATGCCTGCCATTCAAGACAACAAAGCCGCGTAAATCATCCTGAAACACATTGGTGAAAGTCCCTAAAAACTCTGACCTTAACTTGTTGAGGCGTCACAGCTAGAGTGTGGCGACTGCAAGTGGATTACATCTGAAGACACTTCGGACTATATAGAGCGATACATTCAATACGTCCGCTCCGACCTGCGCTGATTGCTGTTAAAGTTAGCGGCAGAAGCAGATGGTAATGAGTGGGACGCCTCTGTCGGAAATTGATTTAAAGTATGGATTGCGGGACTCACTGTTGTAGAGCTATCGACTCTCGCTGGGCCCAGTCATAATTGCGATGCAAATTGGAGCTGGCGCGTGATTATGCAACTTGGCGATCGAAATGAATGAGTATGAGTATGGGCATGAGTGCGTGCGAGAGTCAATTGAATAATAACTGATTAATCTGATACGATCATTGGATCTGCGCACGTGTAGAAGGTATGTAATAGCCATATATCTGGGAAGAGTATATTGAACGTAAATTTAGTTAGCCTTGTCTTCAATCTTGAATTGTGTAGGGAAAGATGAAAAGATTGCTGGGATACAAAATTCTCTTAGTTGGACTCATTATTATCCCCATTGTGTCTATTAAGCGAGACAATTAAGAGTCGTGATTTATAGAAGCTTAGAAATATATAACAATTTATTCAATTAAAGGACATTTACATGGCATTCAACAGAAACGGATATCCATCTAGTGGTGATAGGCGACGGGCAGAGGTGCTGGGGCAGCGACGGCCTTGACCACCTTTACGTGGTCGATGGGCACACGGTTGACCACAGCGTTGAAGCCGTTCTCTGGGTCAGAGGTGTACTGAACAGTGCGCTTGTAGCCATCGGAATCCACCAGCGAGTACTCGCCACGGACCACATCGCCATCGCGCTCCTCCACCTGGCTCTTGGAGTCGCCGGAGAGAGCGTCCTGCACATCGTAGGCGAATTTGTACTGGGGATGGGGGTCGTACTCATCGTCGTGCTTGGCCAGAACGGGCTGCGCATGGGCGACTGCCACTGGGGCATGAGCATAGGCCACAGCTGGAGCAGGTGCAGCATGGTAGAGCTGCTGGGCTGGCAGAACTCCGGCGCTGGCGGCGGCAACGAGCGCAAGGATGGCAAGGTACTGAATCAGAAGAACATACGAATAAAGTATTCACGGACTTGGCTGTGCAGTGACTGATCTTACCTGGAAGGCCATGGTGAGTGGGCGTGGGGAGCTTGGCGAATATCCAAACAGTGATGCGAAAGCGGAGAAGCTGTGTGGAATGATTTGCAGACTGGCCAACGCTCGGTTTTATACTCCGGCTGAAGCTAGCTGAAATTGGAATGATAATTATATTTTTATTTTATTTTATTTCATTTCATTTATTTTGTTCGCTTTTGCCCAACATACTTTTGTCACTCTTATTTATTTTTCGTTGATATTTCGACTGCGAGCGAGCCAATTACGAATAAAGATAGATATAGTACACACACATAACACATATTTATGCAACAGCTTCGACATGTAAATATGTGCAGATTAGTGCCACAGGTAAGTGGTCTCCAATCCGCAGCCGCACAGCCACACAACCACACAGACAGACATGCACACAGACACACAACCACACCTCTATCAATTGCTGCCGTTTGACCGCGAGCTAATTCGTGTCTTTGTCGCTTTCACAATTTCACCTTGAGGGCGATATCGAATTAAATGCATAAGTATATACATTTATATTATTTAATGTTTGATTGCTTGGCCGATACGGCTGCATATGGCTTGACAAATACTTTTCCTTAATAAAGCTGAACGCCCCAGAATAATATGTTAGTAGAAAAATTATAATAATTGCTTTTATATATTTATTAGTTGATCTATTTTATTTCGTTCTCAATCAGCCTCCCTGCCAAGATTCCCATTCAAGAAGGAACAATCTTTTGTTTAAGAAAAAAATCACAATTTATTGCATAACCATAAAACAGGGATTAGTTAACAAGGGGAATCTGGTCGGATTACAAGTTCCGCACGGTGTAGGCTGGCGCCGTGTATCTCAGAGGGGCTGCTACTGCAAGGGGGGCAGAGCGGACGAGGGGAGCAGCAACAGCAACGGGAGCAGAGCGGACGAGGGGAGCAGCTACAGCAACGGGAGCAGAGCGGACGAGGGGAGCGGCAACAGCTACGGGAGCAGAGCGGACGAGGGGAGCGGCAACAGCTACGGGAGCAGCCTTTACCACGGGCTCGGCCACGGCAACGATAGGTTCACGGCGAACGACGGCGTTGAAGCCATTGATAGAATCGGCGGTGTAGGTGACGGTGCGCTTGAAGCCATCGGCGTCGATCAGAGAGTATTCGCCACGCACCACATCCCCATCGCGCTCCTCCACATGTCCCTTGGAATCGCCGGACAGGTTGTCCTGCACGTCGTAGCTGTACGAGTACTGTGGATGCGGGTCGATCTCCTCCAGCTCAACGGTCTTGGCCAGAACGGGGGCGGGTGCCACTGCAACGGGGGCCGCAGTCCTCAGCACCGCCGCCTGCGCCACGCCGAGCATAGCCAATGCGAAAGCGATCTGTGGATAGATTAGATAAGTATCCTGGCGTCATCTTTGGGTCTCTCAGCTGTACCTTGTAAGCCATTTCTTATGGAATTGCTTGGAGGATTACTCGGTGCTGTTGGAAGCAGAAGCTAAACACTGAATGTCTGGCCAAACGGTGGACGTAAGGTTATATAGTCAATCCGATGACATTGGTCACACCTAATTGGAATTCGTTTTTGGCACCGCATCGGAGGTGGCTGCAGCCTGAGCTCGTCACGTATAACGGTCACGTACGTTCTTCGGTTCTCCAAGTCGGACAGCCGTTCAAATGCGAATCTTGAATTGAAAACCCATAGTGCATATTATTTATAAATAAATATATAGGTATATAGATATTTGTGCTCTTCAGTTATATGTATGTATCTCCCGCGGTTTACAGTTATTGTACACATAATATGCATTCGAAATTGATGGTGTGCGAATAACCGAAATCAATATTGGATTTCGTAAAATATGTGAATCGACTCGATAAGTGATATGAATTTCGATTTACAGCATATTAAATAAATTACAAATTGTTTCTCAAAAATTTCGGGTTCAATGCTTGTGATTTCATTCTACATCGTCATCGCATCTATCTTAATAATATTTGTTCATAATTCATGCAACCAAACATGAAATAATTACGATATATTTTTCACAAATACATACATATGTATACAAGCATTCAGATCAACCTCTATTCTCCATCTTTCAATGTCCTTGACAATAGTAGGCAAATCAATTTACGTGGCTGAATTACCTGATTTTATTTTGATTTACTTTTATATTTTTATATGGGATGCTTTATTTTGAATAAAATTAAATTGTGTAAAGGTATTGTGCCATAATATTTCACTCTTGCAAGTTTTATTTTTATTTTTTTAGTTTTTCATATCATAAAGCGTATATATTTTTGATGGCTCATTTCCAGATGACAATTTTTAAGAGATTAAGCGAAATTAATATTAGCGACTGCGATTTGGTTAATTTTTCGATATAAGTTATGTTTTTTATTTTGTTGAATATCAAAAATACTTTCAAGCATAATTTGATTTATGATAAAGTTCTGAATATTTAGCATATTAAACAATGTTTGTTGTATTTTGCATTTGGGTAGTAAATGCCATGTGCTTGTTTGACAACTCAGCAGAGAGCGGATTCGTTATTCTATAGTGCCATAACATTTCCTGTTAGTTTCTGTCGTGCCACAATGTATATATGATAGAAAGCAAGATCCTACAAATTATATATACTTATCAATATTGAAATACGAATAAACTTAGTTTTGAAGTCACGTTTAGTGTTAGTTGTCAATTGCAATGGAGACAGTCGATAACAAAAGAATATCGATTGAGTACAAGAGGTTGAAATAAGAAAATATTTAAATATTCAACAGACTAAAGCGGGTTGAGCGGCCTAGCCCACCACCACCCGCACCCACACGAAATTATATTTCCAGCCCGTACTTGACACAGACCAGATGTGTTCAGAGTATACAAATATTCAATAGCTACCTAATTATAACCGACATTTTACAATAGATTGAGTTTGTAATTTCCATGCTTCCCATTCTTCATTTATATCCATAAGCCTACATATATAAGTATGTATAATCTAGTTAAATGGTATATGCATAATTTCATGTAATAACTGTTGTTTATAACATTTTGAGTGTGTCAATCCCTCATGGATTGCTCATTTCTAAATATTTTTCTATTTTTATAAACTTTTGCATCTTTGTGCAGCTTCAGCTCGAAAACCAGTTTTGGCACCCCAAACAATTGGAATTTAGTTAGATGACAACACACATTGCACATACACATGCATATGTATGCATATGAGTGTGCCTGTATTAGTGCGCAGCGTATTCGCTGTTAGTGTAACATTTTCCATACACATTTAGCATAAATGAATTGCACTAATTACGCGACTTCGGCCCCGAAAAGGCATTCAGAGATTCGGCATGTTGTTTATGGGCTGCTCCATATATAAGCCCGCCGTCAACAGCAGCAGGTATCACAGTTCAAATCGCATTCAGCCCTCAGCAGCAACTCAACTCAACTCCGACGAAATGGCCTTTAAGGTATGTGCCCAACACAGATTTAATTCACTTAGGACATATTTACAATTGTTACCATTTCCTATTTTATTTACTATTTTAGTTTATTGCCCTCTTCGCCCTGGTTGCCGCCGCCAGCGCTGGTATCCTGCCCGCCGCCCAGGTCTACCATGCGGCACCCGCCGTGGCCTCCTACGCCGCCCCGGCTGCCGTCGTCAAGACGATTGCGCCTGTGGCCCAACACGTTATCACGAAGGCTGCCGAGGAGTACGACCCCCATCCCCAGTACAAGTACGCCTACGATGTGCACGATTCCCTCTCCGGCGACTCCAAGAGCCAGGTGGAGGAGCGCGATGGCGATGTGGTCCGCGGCGAGTACTCGCTGGTGGATGCCGATGGCTACAAGCGCACCGTCCAGTACACCGCCGATCCCATCAACGGCTTCAACGCTGTGGTCAACCGCGAACCCCTCGTCAAGGCTGTGAAGACCATTGCCGCTGCTCCAGTGGTTGCCCACTATGCTGCCCCTGCTGTGGTCAAGACTGTCGCCCCCACTTACCACGCCTATGCCGCCCCTGCTCCAGTCGCCCACTATAGCCCGGCTGTTGCCTACCATCATTAAATGTGTTAATTCTACCGCAGATCTGTTATGTCTTAAAGTAAATGAATAAATTGTTATAGATAATATGAAAACATAGAAATTTGTCAATTTAGAATTGATTGGGTATTTCCAGTATTAATCCCATCAACAATCAATGTATTCATGTTTTTAGCAGTAGCTGAAGAATGGGCTTTAGTTTCAATTCACCTCAGCTAACACGTCCCTACTCTAGACTGCGCCCAATATGATAACCTTGAGGTGGGTCAATTTGTTACCGGCTCCTTATTATTATTTGGAACTCGTTAAATAAAACTATTTGTACTCATTCACCATTTGCATCCATTTATACTCATGCAATATGTGCAATGTCTGTCCTACTGTCCGTCCGTTTGTTCGTCTCTATGCACGCAAACTATTTTGACACTACTAACAAATTGGTAAAACAGTAGGTATTCGAAATGTAACGGCTCAGTTATGGTTTACTTTTACTATTGATGTACCAAACACCATATATGTTCATAAGGATGAAGCAAATTTTGGATCTGGCAGCGCTTAGACCACGTCTGCGCTTTATACAATTGGCTGCGTCTGAATAATTCTAGTCTTTTTCATAGGAATTTAAGACAGGTGTTTTACATAATCGGCGAATGGAAGATATTTGCAGAACATATTTGAAATTAACTATTTCTGTTTATTTTCAAATTATCTATAACAATTTATTCATTTAATATAACAGATCTGGGATAGAATTAACACACTTAATGATGGTAGGCAACAGCCGGGCCATAGTGGGCGACTGGAGCAGGGGCGGCATAGGCGTGGTAAGCAGGGGCGACAGTCTTGACCACAGCAGGGGCAGCGTAGTGGGCAACCACTGGAGCAGCGGCAATGGTCTTCACAGCCTTGACGAGGGGTTCGCGGTTGACCACAGCGTTGAAGCCGTTGATGGGATCGGCGGTGTACTGGACGGTGCGCTTGTAGCCATCGGCATCCACCAGCGAGTACTCGCCGCGGACCACATCGCCATCGCGCTCCTCCACCTGGCTCTTGGAGTCGCCGGAGAGGGAATCGTGCACATCGTAGGCGTACTTGTACTGGGGATGGGGGTCGTACTCCTCGGCAGCCTTCGTGATAACGTGTTGGGCCACAGGCGCAATCGTCTTGACGACGGCAGCCGGGGCGGCGTAGGAGGCCACGGCGGGTGCCGCATGGTAGACCTGGGCGGCGGGCAGGATACCAGCGCTGGCGGCGGCAACCAGGGCGAAGAGGGCGATAAACTGGAATGGATTCAGTGTATATGGATTAGCTGATATTTTGGCTCAGTGAGGTGGGCTTACCTTGAATGCCATTTTAATGTGGTTTGAGTGGGTCTGAGAGCGTGTGCTGTCGGATGGGGCCAAGTCTGCAGTATGATTAGAAGTGGAGCAGACCTCCGCTTATATAGAGCAATCTCACGGGGCAAGTGCATACGCCGAGGCTGTCTGTTGCTGCTGCGGCCCATTATTGTGAAGCAAATTACAAAAGCTCAGCGTAAACAAAGAGGAGCGAAAGGGCGAGTCAAGTTGAACCGGGCTGGCCTAGGCAGACTATGGAGTGCAGGTAATGTGGAGCAAATTGGGTCTTGTCTTGCAATTGGACATAGCATTGCTCATGCTCACGGACGCATTCGCCGTCGAGGTTCCGGGCTCTGATCTACCCAGCCATCAAGCAAGAGTATTGCCCGCGGGCCGCGGCTATTTGACATTCAATTTGTGTGCGCGACATTACAATTGCAAAAAAATAAAAATAGAAATAAAAGTCTGTCTTTGTTGCTACCGGATACTTTTTGGCATGCCAAAAACCGGTTGGCTCATGCGCGAAAAAGCTGATGTAGATCGAGCAATATAGAGCTAAACTATATACATGAATTACACATCTCGTATATGTCCACACGAGACTGTGCTCTGCTCTGCTTGATCTTGGAGTCAGAAAATACAACCACTCTACTATTTCATTCTATATTAATTTTATTTGATGTTCTATTTTATTTATGATAACACCCAAATAAGTATATGAATAATGTCAGCGGCATTTCTTTCAAACAATATATAACGGCTTCTCTTGCTGTTTATCTGGAGACTAAATTACTCATCATCGGCTGATCGTTGATTATCGATATTCACTATAGTCACTATCGATTGTTCTGCAATATCTATCGTCACTATTTTGGTTCATAACTATCGATACTATTGATGGCTCTCCACCTCTAATTGCTATAGTAAGAAAAGCAAGAAAACAGGATCAATTTCCAATTTTCAAATCAATAAAAACTTGTTAAAGGCTTCGACACTGTGGAACAACATAATTATGTGCAATAAATATTAGTATACCCTATTTGAAACTTTAAAATAATATTTTAACGAACTACTTTTTCTTTTGTTATATTATGAAGTTTTTAATCCATGTAATTCAAATTTCATATCTTAACAACCACCAAATCACAACAAATATTAAAATATAATTCAACTCAATGCAATGAAGCCTATATTGGTGTTATGCAGCAATGAATAATAGACTTGTGAACATTAAAATAAAATTACTATTCAATTTTACACCCAATAGGGGGGGAGGAGTATAACAAATAATGGTGTATAATTGTTATAGTCATATATTTTTCGCAAATTCAAACGATTATTATATATCTATATTTAGTTGGAATTGCCTGCATAATCCACTTCTTTGTGCTCGGGTACTGTTTGATCCGATACTTACAAATGTCTTACCCGCACTTTTTACTTATCCAACGATTTTGGAGTTATACATATGTGTGATATGTGGATAATAAACAGCTTTGTGCTCATAGTTAATATGCATATAACGATTTATTACAATAGAACTATTTAACAGAGCTTAGGGATCTAAGAATGCTGGGTAATGGAAATTGGGAATTTGGAATGGAGGATGCAATAATACTTCCGTCGTCGCGCGTCGCAGCTCTAGTGATGATAATAATCCTGAGCAGCATGGCTGGCTGGAGGCGCCGACTCGTAGGTGGCATAGTGGTCCTGGTGCTGTTGCTGGTGGTGCTGCAGTTGTTGCTGAGGCTCGTGTTCGTGGTGCACGTTGTAAGTGGGCGCAGCGTAAGTGGGCGCAGCGTAAGCCACAGGAGCCTTCAGCACAGCCGACTGATGATATTGAGCGGGTGCAGCTGGGGCAGAGGCGATCAGTTTGTGATGAATGTGGCCCAGGGGTTCGCGATGAACGACAGCATTGAAGCCATTGACGGAGTCGGCGGTGTACTTCACGGTGCGGCGGTAGCCGTCGGCATCGTCCAAGGAATACTCTCCCTGCACCACGTCGCCGTCACGGGACTCAACCTGGCTTTTGGAGTCGCCGGAGACTGCGTCCTGCACGTCGTAGGCGAAATTGTACTTGGGATGGGGATCATCAGGATAGATCTCATGAGCGTGGGCGTGGGCGTGGATGTCATGTGGCTTTTGGTAGATCACATGCTGCGGCTGTGGCACTCCGGTGTGATAAAGCTGTGGCTGCTCGTGGTGCTCCACGGGTATGAGGCCAGCTGATACGGCTGCGACGAGCGAGACCAATGCTACGAACTGAAGAAAAGAAAGAAAAAAGAAATTGAGCATAGGGAAAGATTCTGCGGGGAGGGATTACGCACTCACCTTGAAAGCCATTTTGCTGAGATTATGAGGTGCGAAGATTGGAGCAGAGCTGTGAAATGGATGTACTCCTGCTGTCGAAGTCTGTGCTGTGAATAGTAATTGAGCATCCACAGCATTTGTATTTATAGACGAAATTGGTGGTGGCCACCAGGGCCACATCAATTGGGCGTCAAACTCCATTGTTTCGGGCCTTTCTTTCACTTTTTGGTAAGTCTTATAGATATAATTTGAGTTTGAATTCATTTGCATGGCGCTCATTGTACGGTTTTCGTTTCTTGAAATTTACCAAACGGGTTGGCGCTCGACCGATTTGGTGATTTGCACCCACGAGACACACCCATGTGGCGAACATGAATGGATGACGGACAACCGCACGAAACAGCCGGCAGACAAAAGACTTAGGCAAGCAACTAGACTTTGATGGCTGTGGGACCAGAGCTGTAGCCGGGGAACCTGTGAACTGGGGAACTGGGGAACTGGGGAACCGGGGAGTCGGAGTCGGAGTCGGAGTCGAAGCCAAAGCCGGGTGTTGAGTCGAATCATGTAAGTAACCCAATAAAGACAGCTTGATCGATGCCAGCATTGCACTTGACACACACACATATACACACACAGACGCCCTTCTCAGCAGCTGTCCGCTGCAATGACCTAAAAACTAGAAATATAATCGGACGAAAGCTGGCCATTCACCAATACATGCAGCAAGTGCCGGAGCCATGCCTACGACTCTCGGCTTGTAATGGCTGAGCTTTCGGCTTGCAGCTTTTGCCTCGCTCGATATTCGACTTGTGGAATAAGTGCTCAATCATGCCATCAATGAGTACACACACATACACATACAAACAGACCAAGCACACGTTTGTTGGCCTAATGTAAATAGGTGTGAAGTGACTAAACGGTTTGCGAAGTGATGATGTAACGCTAAGCAGGTCGCGCAGTAATTGGAAAGAATTTCGTCTAAGGTCGTTTCTCAATTTTAAGGAATATTTGATAGGACAACCTCTAGTAAAGCATTGCCAAACTCTAGATATTAAATGTGGGATCATCAGGTCCAGCTTTTATTAAAGAGTGCCAAAATATGAATTATAACTATTTAATTATATTTCAAGTTCTTGCAAGAATTCAATGACCTTTCAATTCCATTTTCGATTTCAATTGCGTTAATTAAAGTGATCGTAGCCTTGAGTGCCGGTAATGAAAAAGTACAATCAAAAGTTTATTTGGGAGAAAGGCTCAATCAGATTACTCACTCTTTACGCAATCATAAAGAACGGCAATAGAACTTCTGGCACGCCCAACTCTCGCTCCGTCTGACATGCGTCTGGGAGCGAGACAAGCCGGTTACAATCAAATTGGGCGAGTCATGTTTGGCGCGGAGTAGGAAATGCCGCAGCCGGTAGTAGCTCGCTAAGGTAGCAAGCGAAATCAAGATTAAAAATAGTGTGATATACATATATATCTGCAGATACGGTCACGGCTACAGGTATTGATACATTGTTTGCTGATGGGATTAGTTAATTTTCATGGCGATTGCTGGTCAGTGTAACAAATCAATCCCTGATTGAGAACCGCACTCGACTTTGGTATTTCAATGTCGCACCAAATTTAATTGCAACACTTTTATGCCGAGATCAACTCGCATAATCAATTAACGATTCTGATATTAAATGCCATAGGTCCGGCACGGCGTATTCCGTAAAAACCCAAAACTAAAATCAGAGCAAAGAGACTGGTTCTTATATCAAATCCGTAAGTCTAAGCTAGTAGAGAAAGTAACTATAACTCGATAATTATATCTGATATATGCACTACTTTATTGTGGAGCTCAATAAATAAGTATACAGTAAAACGAACAACGGTACCATATCAAACAGCAACAAGCTCTTGAGACTTTAGTGATGGTAGGTGACGGACGGCGCGGAGTAGGTCGCGTAGTGGGCAGCAGGAGCAGCGTAGTGAACAACTGGAGCGACGGTCTTGACCACAGCAGGAGCAGCATAGTGGACAGCTGGAGCAGCATAGTGGGCGACTGGAGCAGGGGCAGCATAGGTGTGGTAAGCGGGGGCGACAGTCTTGACGACAGCAGGGGCAGCATAGTGGGCAACTGGGGCGGCGGCGACGGCCTTGACGAGGGGTTCGCGGTTGACCACAGCGTTGAAGCCGTTGATGGGATCGGCGGTGTACTGGACGGTGCGCTTGTAGCCATCRGCATCCACCAGCGAGTACTCGCCGCGGACCACATCGCCRTCGCGCTCCTCCACCTGGCCCTTGGAGTCGCCAGTCAGCTTATCGTCGACGCCGTACGAGAAACGGTACTGGGGATGGGGATCGTAGGTCTCGTCGGACTTGACCACCACCTTCTGGGCCACAGCCACGGGGGCGCCGTAGGTGGCAACTGGAGCAGCGGGCACGTAGCCAGCGCTGGCCACCGCGACGAAGGCGAGTGCGAAAACAAACTGGAGAACAGCGAGATAATCCATTAGTACATTCTATATATGTGGGCATCCATTGAGCAGTCGTACTCACCTTGAATGCCATGTTGCTGTTTTGGGAGTTGGTTAAGTTCTTTGCAGAGGCAAGAGTAAATGTCGAATGATATTGCTTCTGGAGTGCAAAAGGTATTTATAGGTTGTCGCACAGCTGAACTCTGGTAGCCGATTTGATTATGTCTGCATAGCGGTAATCGTAAGGTGCTTAAATGTGGCCTTCTGCATATCATGTTCGAAATTAGCGCAGTCACCACGCCGAAATCGGCCAGCTGGCCAGTAGCCGAAGAGATTGTCAAGCTGCACAGAAGCAGTGTCTGCCGCTGAGGCATCGACAGAGGCAGCGGGAACAGCAGCGGCGGCAGCGAGAGCGAATGCAATCGAAAATGGTAAATTATTTAGAAAGGATTTGGGATCTTCCTTTAACCATAAAATCATCTCGAGCAATGCGCATCTGCAGACGATTTGTAAATTGCATCCAAATTACATCTGCTCATGAGAAACATTATCAGGTTTACAATTGAAAAGAAAATTTAATGGGATGCTGATTACAGTAGATCTGTCCTTGAACTTTGCATGTACATTCTAAAAACTGGCCGCAAATATGTGCTCAGGCTGGTAGGTAGCTCTATAAGACATTTTTACACTCTCCACAAATTGCCAAATTTATTTCTTAAGAGTAATTTAATTGTTACAATTGCCAGCTTTATTTAGGTGTGGCCTGAGTAGCTCTGTTTTATGTCACTTGTAATTATGAACAGTGAATACATTTTTACTAAGCTAACATGTAAATGAGTTGGATACTGCCTGTTCCAAGTAATACAATTAAATGATCACATTTTTAAGGTTCCATAACATTTATTTTGTGGGTTACAGAGAAAATCATCTTAAGTTGAAAAATAATTACTATGATGATAATAGTTCATATTTATCTTTATTTTGTTCACATTTACATACATATATACATGTATGTAGAGATGTACTTGCGTATGTATTGTACGTAAACTAAATTCTTATAGGACTCAATTTAATTKTAATTTTAATTTTGACATTCGTAGAAATAATTTTTAAACTTTGAATTTGAAGTTAGACTTCAATTGGCAATCACCATTAAGATATTCTGATAACTCGGCGACATTTCTTATATTTAATTTCAGCTAATGTTCGTGTCTAAGAAGTATGTATGAGTAAGTGTAAAGCACCGTTAAGCTCTGCCTTATCTGCGCATAAGCTCTGCGCGTGTGCCATTCCCGTTCGAGCGGAATCTCTCTCTTTTTGGTCACGGTTCTCGTAGATCAAACGTGATTATTATAAGCACACCCACAGTGCCTTCGAACAGGAAGTAGCAGCAATCCACAGCCAGCCAGCCACCAATCAACRGCGTAAGCACTAAAGCGTTGCTGTCACCATGAAAATACAACGCTCACTCGCAGCTGCGCTGCTGCGACGACTATTCGCTATATAAGTTAAGGCTTACGCCCAGAAATGTATCATTCGCAAATCAAGTTCACTTCTGTAAAGAACTCAACCAACTCCCAAAACAGCAACATGGCATTCAAGGTGAGTACGACTGCTCAATGGATGCCCACATATATAGAATGTACTAATGGATTATCTCGCTGTTCTCCAGTTTGTTTTCGCACTCGCCTTCGTCGCGGTGGCCAGCGCTGGCTACGTGCCCGCTGCTCCAGTTGCCACCTACGGCGCCCCCGTGGCTGTGGCCCAGAAGGTGGTGGTCAAGTCCGACGAGACCTACGATCCCCATCCCCAGTACCGTTTCTCGTACGGCGTCGACGATAAGCTGACTGGCGACTCCAAGGGCCAGGTGGAGGAGCGCGAYGGCGATGTGGTCCGCGGCGAGTACTCGCTGGTGGATGCCGATGGCTACAAGCGCACCGTCCAGTACACCGCCGATCCCATCAACGGCTTCAACGCTGTGGTCAACCGCGAACCCCTCGTCAAGGCCGTCGCCGCCGCCCCAGTTGCCCACTATGCTGCCCCTGCTGTCGTCAAGACTGTCGCCCCCGCTTACCACACCTATGCTGCTCCTGCTGTAGTCAAGACTGTTGCTCCCGCTTACTCCACCTATGCTGCTCCAGCTACCCACTATGCTGCTCCAGCTGTCCACTATGCTGCTCCAGCTGTCCACTATGCGTCTCCTGCTGTGGTCAAGACCGTCGCTCCAGTTGCTCACTATGCTGCACCTGCGGCCCACTACGCCACTTACTCCTCTCCAGCCGTCGCCTACCATCACTAATGAAGTGATGAAGTTTTCTTAAAACTCATAATTAGAATCGTTGCTCATATTACTGTATATTTATTTATTGGCATCAATAAAATAATGCATACATGAATATAAACCAAAGAGAATTCTTTACTCTAATTTTGGTATTTTCGGATATAGTATTATTAGTATGTGTTTAGTATATTACATATAATGCATTATGGAATTTTGACGAAGGTCCTTAGGTTATGTTTAATATGCATTGGTGAAAAAACAGCAGATAGTACTTTAATCATAAGGATTACATATATAATAAGAATTTATGTTTAAACCTCAACAGCTTCGTTACTCTACGAGATTTGGTGAGTAATTTTCTATACATGCATGTATTAGAAATATGTTTAATAGAGCGCATATATATGTATATACATATTTCTATAAATTCAAGACAGCTTCTGCTTTTCAAGAAATTATGAAATTTACATATATCATTTGATACACTCAGCGGCTTTAGGTGCCGAGAGTTGGAAATTCAAATAAGCAATGAGACTTATATGAATGGCATTTACTTGGACACGCAATTCCAATTGCAGTTGTTGATAATTGGTAAGGTCGTTCACATTCTGCGCACTATTATCCTGTTTAACTACCTCCTTTATTGTATGTGTGTCTATGTGTGTGTGTGTACGTGAGTTCATAACTTGTTTGTCAGCCAGTCGAAGCAACGGAGAAACTTCACAGACATTAAGATGCATAAAAGAATCGAAGTCGTAGTGCTTGGGCTGCAATTCGTGTCCTGTAGTCTGGCGTTGGCTGGACTTTTGTTTGAAGTTCTTTTAAGGACGCGGTGGCTGTTGCTTTCACTCGCCACGGGAGTGCAACGAACTGCCCTAGGTAGGATCCTCATCCGTCAGACAGTCTGCGGACAAGACTCAACTTTTCTGCCAGCCAGCCAGCCAGCGAGCCAGGTAGGCAGGCAGACAGAGGAGTTGAGATTGCATATTTAAAATATATGCCACTGCCGGGTTGACAGGCTGCAGCCATGAATGCCGGGGGTCATGACTTCAATTTCGAAATGATAAATACGCGAACTTGCAGCATCTCGTGCAAGGGAGTCGGGCACAATTGGCTTAGAGACGAAAATCTCTAGTTTCCCACAATTGAAGTCATTTGCAGGCGAGCGATTCTAGATATACATAGCAGATAGGACTGTGCACCTGCTGCTCGCTGTTTCCTGAGAGAAGAACTATTCTGTTGGGGTGCCCCAAGGTCGAGGAACTAGCCAACTGCTGCGTGTTTAGTCGGACCCTTGCAGAACAGAGATTTCTGTTGCTGCTGAATTCGAGACCAATCAAGTGGAAGATTGCACGTTTTTTAGGTGCACACACATCGAATATATCGACTCGGCCAGCCGAACCCTTCTCAAACTTCATCATCATCATTATCAAGCGCTCTAACCAAAAGCCCAACAACAATGCGAACTGACAATGCGAGCAGACAAAACTACAATAAGAAATATCAAATGAAAAACAAAAAAGATAAAACAGAAAAAACAGAAAAAAACAAGAAGAAAGATTATACAGCTTCGACATGCCGAATCTCAAATGCCCTTGAATTGATTTAATGGAAGCTTCTACATATAGTATGGAATAGTAGACTCGAGCTCTTGATATTTATCCAAAGATATGATTACTTACGATAGCTACATATATAAAATATAATACATAATATAATTTACATAGAATATAATTGTATTTTATTTTTAACATATAATTTGTTTATTTTTAGATACATTTTATGAACAGACACAAAGAAGACTCCACATGAATTCTTATAGAGTTCATTCAATCTCTGCTGAGAGACTTGCATGAAATAAGAATACTTCCCCTCGGCAAGCGTATAATAAAATGAAATAAAAGTAAAAGTAAAAGGAGCGGCGCTGCCGACTGAGGCAGCCAAACAGGCTCTCGCAGCTGGGCATCCCCTATAAAAAGGATTGCACTTCTGCTGGCCGTCTCATTCAGTGTTTTGTGCTGAGTCCGAGATGTTGGGCTGACGGTCAGCAATCGCTCCTGCCGGAAGGACAAGCAACAGCCACCAAATCGATTCGCGAGCAGGGGGCCCGATGCGGCGCAGAGTGCTGCTCTGTAAATTGTAATGCAAATGCCTTAGTGGACTTCGTTATCACATTGGTCAATAACGTTTCTCTCTTTCTTTTTAGACGAAACCTGAAACAGAACCAGAACCGATTGGCAGGCATTTGCAATAGCATTTAACTCAATTGGAATGTAACTGAGTCCCAGCTCCGGCCCCAACGCCCCACGCCCGGCACACAACACCAACAACACTTTCGGCAGATATTTGGCTTATCACATCTAAACGTCATCCAGCAACCGGCAACCAAGGCCATTTTACGATGCAAATAGGCCCGGCGACCACTTTGTGGCACTTCGCATTGTCAACCAGAGGCCGTCGTCATTTTGCACTCATCCCAAGGCATTGAATCGCACGGAACCGTTGGAGGAACCCCAAACGCACTTTCGGCCAAACACCAAAATTCACATTTGCGATTAAGTTTAGGTGTAACCAATAAACACGACAAAAACTACAATAGGCTACCAAATTGGCTCTTGTGTATTTACTCAACAACAGGGGAGCTGTTCCCATCGTAGGATAGAGCCATCCCTAGTAGGCTGACTAGACTACCTATATTCGAGGGGGACAACTGCTATTTCACAGGGATTTACGACTCTAAAATATTGCACATTCAAGGGTATTTTCGAAACATCGTGATAGGAAGAAGCTTTCCTTGACTCCCCTAACCATATGATATCTTCTCGCATAAGGCGCCTCACCATCTGTTTGTTGGTGTGGCTCCCAACCAGTGCTGTTACCCGCAGATCAGCAGAATTTTCCTAGATACTTCCCATCATATAATGGAATGTATATCTAACAAATGTAAATTATTTTGGAACCCTCAATATAAAAGTCTACGGATGGAGCATTGTACGGGTGTTGCCTGCTTGCAAATTATTATTAATAAAGATACGTGATTTTTCTAGAACCCACATCCTTTCATGTAAAGGGATGAAAATATGTGTGCATATGGATTGACGCTACTCTGCCAACTAACCAACATTTTAAAAAAATAGTTTCTATGTTACTCCACGGATTTCAACGGAACTGGCATCATATGGCCAACATGTTCCACTGTCTTGTACATTTGGGCTACGATTACGATTTAAGCCTGTATCCGACTACATTCAAAATGTTTAGACTGTATTACAGTCACTGTAACTGTAGATATGTATGAGATATGTGTAGTTTAATAGCTGAAGTTGAAAAAGTTTTCATTTTTTAGCAGCAACTTGAATATTCCATCTCTTACATATTTTGAGATCGATACTCTCATAAATACGAATAGGTGGACGGAGACGCAGGCCTATGTAGATCGTCGTACTGATCAAGAACATACTTTTAACATATATTACAACAATTTTTAATTAGATGATTGAACTCATATTAAACTCACTTCAAATCCAGTTGGCAGACTTCACTCGAGTTCAGCATTTATATAATGTTGTCAAGGCACCCACAAAGCCTTAACATATTTTTGCCAGTGTAGAAAAACGAAGTAGTTTAGCCTAATTAAAATCTCAATGCGCAAATTGCGATTATAAAAATATGCATGAAAATTTTTTAATAACAAATATTTCGTTATGATTGCTTTACACAAATGCCGTCGCGGTGGCATGTGAACAATAATTTATGTATATCAAGGTCAGAGGGGCCCCACAAAAGCCTATGACTGGAACTTATGGATCGGAGCAACTAAGCCACATGTGTGTGCGAGTGTGCATGTGTGTATGTGTGTGAGCGTGTGTGCAGGGCTGCCGAAAAATAAGTTAACTGCAAACTGGTTTGCATTACTTTAATTGCCATTATCTCACTCACTCGCATGCCAGTTGATAGCTCGCAGTTGTTTGTTGGCTTGCAGAGGGCCGTTAAGGCCTCGCATATACGGCTTGTAGCTGACTAACTGCTCTAGTTGGCTTGAGATTTCCCATTAAACATCAACATTACAAGCTAACTAAATATCTGTAAATTTGTAAATTTGTCGTTGGTTTTGTCACTTCCAGCGTGACGAGCTCAGCTTCAGCTCTTGAAGTGCTTTGACTTTAGTGCCAGCCCATCAAGTTGCTGTCCATTTATCGTAATTAACAAGCTCCGAATTCCAGCTACCTTACTCGTACCCCCATACTCAAATTGAGYTGAGTTGAGTTGAGCTCATGCCAAATGCCAAGCTAAAAGCCACTTGTTGACGTTTCGCTTGCCACCGACCAATTTCAATACGAGCTTCGATCAAGTGCGTTTACGGCCAATGAGGGTATAATGTTTTTATTAAAATGGCGCAGACCTCTTATATACATTTTCGATCAGGATGTCGACCCTCTACTTCTACAGCCATTTTGCGGTTAGCTTTCACTCAAACTACTACAGACTTCAGGCTAGAAATAATTAATTGAATTGAGAAACTAAATGAAGAATGTATGTATGGATTGTGTATGGATTAATAGAAAATTAAAAAAAAAAATAAATAAATTATTGAGTGCATTCTCAATCAGAACAAGTCCGACCGACTGCAGAATACTCATCCACATCCCATTAGCAATTTAGTGGCTAAATTTAGTTCTGATACTGTAGAAAATGCAGTTTTTCTCGATTTGCCACGCCCTACTGGGCGTAGACACCTCATTTTTGGCCAGTTCTTAGAACAAGGTAACGGTAACCTAGCTGTAAAATTTGGATGCTTACGCTCCAAAAATGATAAAATTACAGGGTATTCTCCGATATACCACGCCCCTAAGAAGGTTACTAGTAACTTAACTAGCTTAAAAACAAAATTGGTAGATATATTTTTATACTCATTCACGAAAGCGAAGTGAATTGGTCTTTTACAATGTCCGTCTTGTCCGTCTGTCCGTATGAACGCAGTTGATTTCGGCGCTATTGGAGCTAGAGACTTGAAATTTGGAACACATACTCGTGTATGTTTCCGATTTATAAAGTGTTAACATTTTTCCGATCCGCCCACTAGGGGCGCGGCAAATCGGAAAGTACATTTTCCGATATGC